AAATGATCCAGGAAATGGAGTATGAGTTCTACAACAGAGTGAGAATCACATTTAAGTCCATGAAGGAGTATTTCGTTCATGGAATTAAGTGCAAGTAAATAGGAAAATATACTTTGTTGGGTGTAGAATTGGAGATTTCTAGGGTGATAGATTAAAAATTCTCAATTCGATCTTAGTGTTTAAAGACTAAAGTGAGAGTTAACCTTCAGGGTAAGGGAAGTGGGAGCTCTAGAGTGGGAGCTTGTATCCTCCTAGCTTAGCCACGGATTTAGAGACTAAACCTAGGATTAGTCAATGATTTTCTATAACACTAAATCAGGGTAGAGAATTAAAAATTGCTCCTATTTGGCACAATACATATCTAAACCATTTAACTCATCTCATTTCACCAAGAAGCTCATTGTAGTAGAAAAGATGCTTTTTCATATTAAAAATTTCATCACATAAACATAGTTCAGTAGTTATTGTTCTAAACTCTGCATTTATGTTTTGGTAGTAGTTAATAATTTAATTTTGTTAGTTCTTGCACATTCAAAATTAGTGACAGTTATTTCGTTTGATTTTTGTGAATTTCCTAGTTAATTTATCATTTCAAATTTAAATCATCCCCGTGAGATCGATATTTGGGACGTAAACAAAAAGTCTTATATTAATTGATAACGATACATATACTTGCATAGAATCCCAATCTTTAGTGTTTAAAGTCAATTTCATAAATTTTACATAACTATATTCAACCGGGATCACCCACACATACCACCAACACACCACCACCACACATTTACCATCAACATACTACCACATCATTAACACCAACACACCACCATCACCACATCATTTTAATCAACACACTATCTAACCGAGAGATAGAGCAAAGAAAAAAAACATATTTCATTGGGCATACAGAGAAGCCAAAAATAACAAATAACAACCCATCATATATAGTGGCCGCACCGATAGCAACCCATCATACACATTGGTCATAAACCACGAATAGCAACCCATTCAGGATAGAAAGCAAACCCTTCATAAACTTTCCAAATTTAACAGAAAAAATAAATGCACTTGATATATGAATGGTGATCTGTCCTACAATTACGTAGATATTTATATTCTAAAAGATTGCTAAAAACATGGCTCAAATTATATTT